CTGCCCCCTGTTGCGGCAGAGCACCGTCTGACTCCTGTGTCTGTGTGGGAGGTTCTGCCCACTCCCCTGTCTCTGTGGGAGGCCCTGCCCACTCCTGTTTCCTGGTTGGAGGTCCTGCCAGCCCCGCCCACTCCTGTGTCTCTGTGGGAGGCCCTGCCAACTCCTGCTTCCTTGTTGGAGGCCCTGCCAACTCCTGCACCCTCGTTGGAGGTCCTGCCCACTTCTGTGTCTTCGTCAGAGGCCCTGGCCACTCCTGCACCCTCGTCAGAGGCCCTGGCCACTCCTGCACCCTCGTCAGAGGCCCTGCCGACTCCTGCGCCCTCGTCTGAGGCCCTGGCGAATCCTGCGCTCTCATCTGAGGCCCTGGTGACTCCTGCGCCCTCGTCGCCGTCGTCTGAGGTCCAGCTGACTCCTGCGCCCACGTCAGAGGTTCTGCTGACTCCTGCGCCCTCGTCAGAGATCCTACTAACTCTGCCCACACCTGTGTCCTCATCCGAGGTCCCTGTGGCCTGTCGGAGTCCAGAATGAAACCTCCGGCCTCCCCCCTGAACTAGTCTGCCCGTTCGGTCGGCCTCCCGGCCGTCCACCAGAGCTGTTCTGAGTTTGGTCGGCCTCCTGGCCGTCCACCTGAACTTTCCAGGCTATGTGCCCTGCCTCCCGCCTGACGGTCCGGAGGCAGATGGTCCGGTTTTCCCTTGTGTGTTTCCTAGTTTAGTCTTCAGTGTTTCCTGTGTTATTTTGTAATTTCAAATCCTTGTGACCCTCTCTGTTCTAGTGTGTCTTGATGTTTAACAGTGTCTTCAGCGTTTCATGTATTTGTCACAGTTGTCCTCAGTGTTTCTTGTCCTGCCTCTGTGTTTCCCTCCAGTGTTGATTGCCCTCATTGTCTTCACCTGTGTCGTTAGTCTCACCTGTGTCTGATTACCCCATGTCTATTTAGTCTCTGTGTTTCTTGCCCTCTGTCAGCTCATTGTCATTTGTCGGTGTTGTTTGTAGTTATGTCAGATGTTAGTTTTCCTTGTGCGCCCAGTGATTCCTCGTGGCTACCTTTTATTGCATTTCGTCTTTTCAAGAAAGTAAGTTTTTGTTTAAATAAATATTTTTATTTATTCATTCTGCACTTGGGTCCATTTCCTGATTTTTCCACACCCGTGACAGAACTAGTTCTCTTGCCCGCTTCCATCGCTGCAACACCTGTTGGTTTGACTTGATAACTGGTCTCATATATGGCACACAGATCATTCAGGACCAGAATCTAAACTCAGAAGGAGGACATACTGGCTGCTGCATTGTTGTCAGAGAAGCCAGCACTTCAACATAGCATGTTCTTTAACCCTCCTACAACCCTAGGATTTGTGTCACACCTTTCAACCTAACATCCCAGAGAAATGCTTGAATAAAGACTGCCATAGCAATATTATCTAGTGATGCATAATTCCAATTTTTATGGATACTATTATTAACTGCAGTCCTCATCATGCATAGCAAATATTCATTGTGTTTCTGAAAGTTAACCCCATAAATGCAAGTTTTTGATTTTAAAGTAAGACTTTGCGTAAGAATCACAGAGTGCAGAGGATCAAAAGGTCCGCTCCAGCAGAGGTTGAAGCAACACCAGCTGGTGATGAGAGGGGGGAAGATCTGGTCTGTCCAATGGGGAACAACCTGGGAGTGGAAGGCAACACGCCCAGTGCATTCTGGATGTTGAAGTATTTAAACTCTTTGGGCAGAAGGGAATTACATAACCCTTTTCTGGAATTTCTCCAGAAAAAGGCTATGCAAAACGGAAATCAACAACTTATAGTGTGAGCTGATAAAGAATGTAGCTGTTCCAAACAAAGTGCTTTTTGAACCAGACTGTAAACATGTTAACATGTTTGGCCAAAGAACTGCAGAGTTTTGCACTTCCACATTGGCTTCTTTCTTCAACACCGGAGGCTGCTTCTCAGCTTAGCTGCTTTGATAAAATGGGTAATTTGGTAATATGATTTGCATATGGAAAAAGCCTTTTGCCATTCTCCCGCTAACACACCCACACTCAATATCAGCAGTGTGAATCTGAACACATTAGCTCTCATCTATTTAGAGGATTTACAGCCAAGAGTTTAGACGTGATAATCAACAGCCTGGTTTTAAAGCTGTAAGTATCTTGACTTTATGACGGCCAGGGAAGACATGAGATGCAGTTTAATGATTCATGATTCATGATTTTTTATTTTTTGTCAAGACCAGGGAAAGAGGGCAAGCTTTAAATGCAAACTTTTAAAAATCCAGTCAAATGTTTTTTGTCCTAGATTGACTTAAGTGTTGACATCGAAATGTATTTTCTATTATAAAAAAAATACTCCCAGTTTGGATTCATTCATGGAATCATTTTACATTTCTAAAAACAAAAAAGACCATTTATATATGTTTTTCAGTATTTTATGTCTTACATTTACAAACTTCTATACAAGGGTGACATGTTTTATGTCTCTACCTGAAGAATACTGAGGATCATTCACTGTTTCTTTAACAGAAATCAGTGCAATCTTAACAATCAATACTAAACTGTAAAGGTAACTGACAAATGGTCTGCATGTTGAGTGCAAATTACAAATGTTAGAGCTGCATTTTGGACAAGAATGAGACATGGGGCAGTTCCTTGAATTAAGAGGTATATTGAGAGTTGCAGTTGACCAGAGGAAATGAAAGAAAGTCATGAATCACCTCCTAATCAGCAAGGCACAGAAGTATTTTGCAATTTTCAGAAAGATTCTTGTGCTGAAGAAAACAGGACCTCACAACTTTCTGCCCGTCAAAGGGAAAGGTCACTGTCGAATCCTAAATTTCTGTCTGTTGGCAAGACATTTGCTGATCTATTCTTGTTTTTTTTTACTGCCCAAAGATGACAAAAACAGTCTTGCTTCCCTTTATCAGAAGTGTGTTTTGGTTGTATCTACCAATTTTATAAACTTGAGGCAGTCTCTGAGAGAATCAAGGCGTTCAGGAGTATTGTGTGTTAGTGGAGGTTAAAACTGTGTTTTCCGCATAGCGAAGAAAAGAGACACACCCTGGACGGATTAAACTACCAAGTGGAAGCATTGGACGAGGGGTTCAAGAACTGCGTCTAGGGGTAACCCACAGGTAATGACAATGATTTTACCAATGGTGACTGATGTAGTTTAATTAGATAAATACATTTTTTTTTTACTTGCAAAAGAACAAGCCCATGATAACTCTGAACCATTGATAGTTCCCAGAGAACAAAAGCAAACCATCTTAAGTCTTTAGACACTGCTTGTTTTTAGTTTGATATGGTTTCTGTTGCCATTTCTATTCAGCACACGCAGCTTCAATTGTTCATGATTCATGATGTACCCACAGCTTGTGAAAAAACTAACTAAAAGTCAAAGGTACAGCTTTTCGGCAGCAATACTTAAATAACAATTTTCGCAGCATCTACCGCTTTCTGCTGCCAGTGATCATCAGCTGTTATTGAAATTGGGTATATGTTGCACTGGGCTCATTAGCATGGAAAAATGTTAATATTAAATGTAAATTGTTCTCGATTTAAATTCATGCAAACTGCACAAGATCCCTTAGACATAATTTGCTATGCAGAGCAGTTTAGGGGAGCAATAAACCATTTACATGTTCTCTGACGATGAGCAGGGCTTTTGTTATTTGTTTAGTTGTTATTTACTCACGTTGAGCAGCCATAAATGCTTTGTCATACCTGGCAACTTAGAATAACTAAAACCATTTTTTGATATACTGTACACATTGACCATACCAGTTATCTCCTTTTTCAGAAGTAAAGATGGATCGTTTCATGTCATTGATCTTCCTCTTCTTCGGTAAGTTCAGGGGCTTTATTTACCTAATCTAATTGTTCAGAGTAACTGATTGGTTTATTGATTTTAGATTGTCCACATATCAGCACCATGATGTCCTGTTACTTCTCAGCCAACAAGTACATCAGACTTTTGTTCAATATTACGATCAAATTTATCAATCAATTTTAATATAGCTCCAATCCATAACAAATGTTATCTCAAGACACTCAAGACATAAAAGAGCAGGTAAAAGATGCTACTCTACTCTTATATTATCTAAAAAGACCAACAACAGCCTGCTTTCGTTGGATGCTTTTAAGAGGATGTCACGTATATTGGGAAACAAGTAACTGGAACCCAATTGCAGAAAAGAAAAATACTTTTTAAAGAGGTTAATCTTTAAAATCATTAATAAAGGTTGAATAAATTAATAATTTAAAGTAGACTCTAAGTAAATTTGAGATTCTTTACATCAGGGGCGTGTCCAGACTTTTTGGACTGGGCTGGGCCAATTGGTGCACTGACTTGGGCCTGAAGTTTGTGTGCACACAGCTGAATGAAGAGCATTCCTTTACCCCTCCTGTCTGCACTAAATGCATCAACTTTTAATTAACACAAGATAATGATAATACCAACATATACATCTTCTTACTTGAACTATTCATGGACTAAAAACAATATGTATCTCCAAAGCCACAATTTAAAGTATTGTAAATTGTTAACAAACATCTGCATACAGAAATGAGCTATGAATATGAGCCGCCTGTTGCAACACAGCCTGAAGAGAGGATCTCAACACCTCAGGAATGGCAAATAGACAATAATAGTGAAGGATTATTGTAGATACTGTAAAAACTCTCCACCTCATGTAAGTTAACCCATCTGTTACATAATGACATATTTTATCATCATCCCTCAGCATCTTTGCACTATCCACCACTGTACTATTGTCTCATTTCACTAACAAAGACCACACCAAGAAAATATTGATTTAGAAGATTTTCTTACAATATGCATGATCGAAACGATGAGCGAGGTTGGATGATCAGAAGATTGAGGGTGGATGAATGAAGAGGATGAAGGTTAGGGTGGAGGGAAGAAGGGATGAAGGTAATGGTCGAAGGGATGAAGGTAGGTGGGGTAAGAGTTGAGGGATGAAGAGATGTGGGTAAGGGTCAAGGGATGTGGGATGAAGGTAAGGGTCGAAGGGATGGAGGTAGGGGGGGTAAGAGTTGAGGGACAAAGAGATGGAGGTCAGGGTGAAGATATGTGGAATGAGGGATTAGGGTAAAGGTAGAGGGATGAATGGATAAATGTAAGAGACGGGAAGTAAGTTGAAGGATAATGGACTTGTAGGTACGACGTGAGGAAGCCAGAGGGGTCGAGACTCTAGGTGGTGAAGCCTTCTCTTCGTTGCTGTCTCTATGGACACTGTGGTTCCTTTATTTAGATGAAGAGAGAAGTGAAAAATCACAGAGGGGTTTGGGGGGAGGGATGTGAAATCAGCGACATAGGAATGGAAGTAATTAAGGCGTGCTCAAATACGTTTGAAACAGAAATGGGTTGTGTTGGAGGCGTGGTCTTTGTTGCTGAACCAAATTTTAAAAATCTATATTTAGTCTTGAACATATTACGGGCCATCCGTACCGTGCCAAAGCACACTTCAACCCTAAAGTCCAGTTCGTTTGGTCAATGTGACCGCTCCGTGTACATTTCCTTGGCTTTGGCACACTTCAGAGAGGTGCGCTTCGGCACGGTACACTTCATGCACGAGCACAAGCACGCGGGTACACAACGCTGATAGCCTTCATTATGGAGAAATCCGGAGTTTCATGGCTGTATCTGACTAAAATGACTTAACATAAGCTACAAAGTAGCTGTCATGTTCTCTGAGTTGTTCTCCGATGTGCGTGCTTCCTCTCTCTCTCTCTCTCCCTCTCGTCTGCTCTCTCATCTGCCTGTTTGTTAACTGAGCACACTTCATAATAATATGAAGCATGCATGCGTTGTATTACAACATTATGTACAAGAGGTAATCGTGCTTAAGCACGGATTACCTCCTGTGTAGTGAAACCGCAGGCTGTGCCGGCCAGTGTGGAAAGGTACAGATGGACAGTATGACCGCGCCCTTAGTCTTTGCTTATTTTGTGTTTATTGTTGATATTTAATGTGTTACTTTTTGTAAAAAATGTTGTACAGAGCACAGTTCACACAAGTCAAATTACTTGTGTGTGTGAGCATACCTGCCAGTAAAGCTGATTGTGAATATAAGTTGTGACCTCTTAGCAATGCTTCCTGATCTCTACTCACTGTCTGGTCAGTGGGTCAAGGATCTGTTGCAGGACACCTTCGTAAAGCTTGAGGAGAAACCCAGCATCTAAAATACAGAGTTTAACTTCTAAAACACTGCAGCGTGGTGTCTGTAACACCAAGACTGTATGCAGACTTGTTTCTAAGCCAATTGTTCTACAAATTATTATAACCTTTATTTAAAACAGACAAAATATCTAATGATCATATATATGCTCTCTGTCATTATTTCCCAGGACTTTGCATTTCCTCAAGCAAAGTCCTTCGTCAGTTCCATTACATCGATCTAAAGTTGAACTGGTTGGATGCTCAGCATTATTGCAGAGAGAAATACGACGACCTGGCTACCATCCAAAGCATGGAGGACATAATCCAGCTGAAAAACCAAGTTCAAGTTTCTGCATGGATAGCTGCATGGATCGGACTTAGAGATGACCCAAATTCTTGGTTCAAAGTCATGGGCATTGACGCCAATTCCTGGAGATGGTCGGTAACCGGTGAAACGAGCCAAAATGGTTACCAAAACTGGTTTTCCACAGCACCAGATAATATGTATTTGGAGTACTGCGTTGAGATAGATGGTGCCGCAACATGGAATGATGTGAACTGTGACACGTTGCTGAGTTTCGTATGTTATACTGGTAAGAAAATGTGTTTTGTTTTTTAGTTACTCTGACCCTCTGACCTTACCAATCAATTAATCAGGTAGTCCATTTACAAGGATATTAAATAGTGATGCACTCTTAAAAAGCTTCATCCAAATAATATCTGTAGAAATACTCACTTGTTATATTTAACGTTAAAGATCCCATATCTAATTTCAATTTCACCCTTCATGTCGTCAGTCTGTGAAACCTATAGAGAAGCTTTGCATGATTTGCAGCTCAAAATAAAGGCTTTATTTATCTAATACTGGTGCCAGTAAAAACCCTCATTTTAGCCTTTGCCTGAAACAGTTTGTTTCAGCCGATGTCTCTTTAAGACGCCCCTCCCATGCAACCTCCACACAGAAAAGACACGACGACCGTGCAGTACTGATTAAAGTTGATCCGCCTCAATTAATGCAACTTTCTGTCCAAATTAATGAATTATTGAACCTTATAATAGGCTAAGCCAGTGCAGGCATATCTTGGTTACCAGGGTGACAACTTTTGCTCTGTAAGCCCGTCACCTTGATGGCCCAATGGCCTTTTTGAAATTTCAGATATTTTGAACTGGGAGCACTTAAATGCTTTGTGTCCTTAATAGTATCACAGTGGAGCTTTTCATTAAACATACCTGTCAAGAAGTGGATTGCATTCAATTAAATTATTTTTATTTAACACTTGCTTCACTTTATTGCAGAGACGGGAGGATTGAAAACCTACGTGCACATCTCAACCCCGCTATCATGGCCCGATGCTCGTGACTACTGCAGAGAAAACTACAAGGACCTGGCTCTGATTGAGAGCGAAGATGAAAACACAAATGCTTACCAAGCAAAAAACTCCTCATCTACTGCTTGGATTGGTCTGTACAGAGTGCCATGGACTTGGTCTGATAACAGCAGCAGCTCATTCACAAATTGGCGTGGTGGAGAACCAAATGGTAGAAATGAATACTGTGTGGTTGAGACTCCTGAACATCTGTGGGTAGATGTTCCCTGTGCTACTGAGTTCTCTTTCATCTGCCAAGAAGGTAATAGTTCAATACATCACAAATTAGGCAATATACCTCGACAGGGAGAGATGCAGAACTTGATATCAGCTTTGACTTAGTTGTATGCAAGACCACAGGTTGAGAGCCAAATATAATCAGAGCAAGCTTAAATTCAGGGCAACATTACAACTGGAGTAGGACATTGCTTTCAGAAGCATGAGTCTCGCTGGCTGTGTTGTCCGAGGTGTATAAACATGGACGGGACAGCCGGCTCCTCCCCTGGGGTATTAAAGCTGTTTTAGTCAAGGACTAAGGAGAAAAGAGAGGATAACAAAGCCTACTCACTGCTTATTTGTCACGTAAGAGTTTTTAGATCACAGTCATTCTGTGTAAATGTACAAGCAATGTGAAGCTACGAGCTAACAAAAATGTGCGAGCACAAGCCTGCTAACACAAACATGAAATTTTGTTCCAGCAGCTTGCGCTTGTGTGTTGCATTTGATATCAGTGTTTCCAACACAATAGACGATACCTGGGCGGGCCGCCAAAGTATATTTCTGGCCACCCAAGTATATTGCCGACCTTTTTTTATTTCATTTTTCATTTATTCATAAAATTGCTGCATGAATGATAGCGTGAGAACGGGGAAGAAATAGAGCGTGCAAGAGAGTGCAGGAGCTTGCAATTTGCCTCACGGCTCCGAGCAACAAAACTCCTGTTAAAAAGCAAAATCACAAGAGCAGAATCCCATCACCTTCAAAGAAAGAGAGAGAGATAGAGAGAAGGCCCACTGTCCGTACACCCTTCTTGTAAATGCAGCGATTGCCTTGCTCTGATGAAACTGTTGCATCTCATGGCTTTGTTTTAAAAATGTTAATGTACAGCTACTTGCTGCTGATGCTTGTAAATTACGGAATATCGAGTGGAACTTTTCAAAAACTCTGATATAAATATAAACCTAAAATTAAAATATGCCCTAAGAGTAGAGTAAAAAACCTAAAATATGTTGATTATGTGAGGGATGGCAATTTCCTCCAGATACACTTTTTAAGATTTTGGTTGAAATTGTCTTTTGGTTCTGACAGAAATGAATAATTAAGCTGCCCTGAAAAAAACAAAGAGAATCTGTCATCTGTAGCAATTGTAAGTCTCTAAAAATTTTGACCATTGTCTGACAAGAGGTACCAATCTGATGAACCAATCACACGCCTTCCTGTCTCCCTGCTCGTTCTCTACCCATTGCGTGCACTATCCCACACTCAAAAGGTGTCACCGATGACGGCGTTTATACTGTGAGTTAACTTACCGCAGAATGATATATGAGATGATTTAGTTTCTGCACAATGCAAACAATAAGCTGAGGTCCACTTCTGGAGCAAGGTCGGTGCTCATGCGTGTAAGTGAGGGGCGTGGCTTTTGAGGGAGCACAGAGGGGAGAGGGTGGGTGTAGACGGAGCACTGAGGGAAAATTACCAACCCTTCCTTTAATAGATTTTGTATAGCTCATTTTATTGGTTTTTATCTAAATGTGCTTCTCTTTGATTTGTCATTATATGTTTGTTGATTGTCCAGATCCAGAATTTAAGTCTGTGATAAGGATGGAATTAAGGACTGCCGCTGACTTGACGGATCCAGCTATCAACGCAAAGCTTCTGGCTCAGGTGAACCTCCCTTTTAGTTTCTCCAGTTTCTCTACAGTGGGTTCATCACCAGGGTTATGAAACTTCCAAATTGTCACGCTTCAATTCAATTCCTGGGTTCCCGATTCAGTTCAGAATTGACTTTCACTTCAAACTGATTCCAGATTCACAATACAGTCCCTATTTGTTACAAAGAGGTTCTTATTTTAGGGTCGACTTCAGTCTGCTGTGCACTTTATTATTTGAGAGTCACATTATTATTTCAACATAAGAAGCTCAATAAAATGTGCTCAAGATATTTCAGCTATTATATCTGTTACGTTTTTATCGGCTGAACACACAGATGAGAGCCTAAAAGAAAGATTAGAAAAATGTATTTGTCACTTGCAGAATATGAATACAATCTGTGGGCTTTACACAGCTAATTAAATATCTTAAGCTTGCCAGTGACATAGTGATATTGTTGATGGCGCTACTCGAAGCTTGCTTTCAATGAAAACAGGATGGACCGAATGCCCTGCTGCTCCATACTAAGTAGAGGCACTATGTTAGTATGACAAACAAAGCCATACATTACAGACGCTGAGAACTAGTTAATGTCAACAGCTCAACTGTCTAGCCAGGACCGAAACACCTCCTGCTGCATCAGTGTACCAAGGAACGTGGAGAGGGTGCACGGAGGGAAATGCTAGCAGGCGCGTTTGTTGTGCTCAAACTGGCTTATGCTGAAAACATACTTGGGACAAGCATGTTTCTGAATTTTGTTTGTTCTTCCTCAGCTGGATGTGGAATTGAAAAGGTATGGACTGCCTCAGACCAAACTGAGATGGAAGATTCAGCCCAAAAAACAGAAAAACAACAACAACAAAAAAGAACTTTAGAGCATTGGGGGTTCTTAATTTCTTTTCCCAGCCAAACACAAAGTCAGACCAAGGCCGCCCATAAGGAGGGAAAGAGGGGAAAGTTTTCTGGGGCCCAGTTACAGACTGCATACTAAGTAAAGGCAGCAGGATTTTAAAAAGTGAATAGCAAAAGAGTTTCTAAGTGAAGTCAAACTTCCAAAACCATAATAACTCATAAAGAGTGCTTACATTTGAATTCAAGACGTTTCCAACATCAAAAGGTTACCTCTTCTCGATACCACATTTTCATATGGAAATAGAAGCCTTAAAGAAACATCTAGATGTTGTGCTTAGTTGGTTGTTATTGTTGTTGGGTGTCTACATTTGGGCTTTGGTCTCTGTGTAGTAACGATGGTGTCTTGTAAGCCTGTTTGGGGCTGGACACATTGTTTATGAATGACACAATAATCAAATCAAATTAGAAGCTTTCCAAAAGTGAACCTGCAGATGTGATTTGTTTCCAGCATTGGGCAATGGCTGGTGATAACCATTAATAACAGAGAAATATGCAGTTTTGTTGTTTTGATTAACAATAAAATCAATCTGGTAGAGTTCACATTTACTCTTATTAAAGTTAGGAGCCCCAACTCAGAAATTTCTTCTTTTGTGGTACTTTAGATACGTTTTTGTCCCCTTACCCATTCCCCTGTTGGGTAGGTTTCCTTTGGATGATCAGTTAGATCCTAATACATCCCATTTTTTTCTGTACATATTCCTTGATGTAATTGTTTTTATTCCAATCAATGTTTTAATTCCTTCCTAAACTTGTCAAGATGTCAATGACCTATCACTTACAAATAGTTGTTTTTGAGAGTGATATCTACTATTAGCCTAAAGTAAGCACAAGCTTAGGTATTCATATATATTTAGGTTTTTTTGGGCCTTTTTGCCTGTATTGAATAGGACAGCTGAATAGAGACAGGAAATGTTGGGACGCGAGGGTACGGGATGATATGCAGCAACAGGCTGAGGCCAGATTCAAACCCATGGCGTCTGCGATAAGGACTACAGCCTCATAAGCGGCCGGCGTCAAAAGCTGCTAGGCTATCGGTGATTCAGATTGGGGACTTTGTAATGTATAATTATTTTGGTGTAGGATCTGGTGGTGGCAAAATAATTAACAGGGATTTTAAGTTTTAATGTTATTATTATATCAGATTTGCATAGCTGAATGTATAGTTTGATTTGTCAAGACCGCCCTCCTTAGTTACTGTTACTAGGTTAGACAAAATCTCTTGTCACCGGGCTCCTTCCCCTTTAAAGCGATTGAAAATACCTCAAGATTTGACCGACTCTTAATTGTTTGAAATTGATTTGATTATTTTAATCATTATAAACTTGTCCTCAGCGAAAGAATAAGGACAGAGATACATTAGGGTGTATAAGGATAACTCAAATTCTCTAAACACTTAAAAAATTATTTAAAATGTGATCAATGTCTGATGCTAGTGATGCCAGCTAACGTTTGCTGCCCATGGCTGCTAGCTATATCTCACCTCTACTGACTTACCTCTGGACTCCATCAGGGACCATTTCTGGAGCAAGGGGTCTGAAATATCCTCTATATACAGCAGCATCACTTGGTGTTAAATGCTACAGATCCATGCAGAAAAAGACAAAAGCCTCATTTTGTGTCTCTGGAAGTGTCTGCCAATGGAGCTGTCACCGGGCAGAACTGCTCATGTACTGCAGGGTAGATAACTGAATAAAGCAAACAAAATTGTTCATTATTACAGACTGTAGCTGGACGTACTTTATTTTTTAAATATCTGTCATATAACCAATGACAAAAACAAAAATCCTTCAGGTCTAGGGGGAAAAATACTCTTGCAGACACACAGAGCACCTTTTAAAAATGTTTATTAACTGAATTAAGGTCACAATTTCACTGCATCGAAAAAGAAAAGACTCGGCCCAGTCAAAAGTTTGTCAAACCAGAAGTAGCCCAGCAACAGTTGCTATGAGAGGGAGCTCTCTGATTGGTGGTCAGCGGACCAATCAGAGAGCCGACAAAGGGTAAATTCTGTGATTGATGTTTTGCCGCAGTTTGTGCTTTTGTTTGATTTCCTTTGTAGGAAGGATCTGGAGCAATCAGTACAATAAGATAATAGTTCTGTTTGCTATATATTTATCGTGTTACCTTGCTGTATTTAGTTAATGTTTTGCCAAAGTTGAATTTGTGTAGAAATAAAGCATTAAGTTGTTTTGATGTGTGTTAAACAAAATAAATAATGGTCATACAAGAAGACAATCACTTGTTTCTTTTTTTCATTAGGTGCAATAGTGTGACAAACTGGTGACATATAGATGACAAATGAATCAAAATAAAAAACAATTTAAAAAATACTAAGACATCAACGGGCACACATCTGACAACAACCAGCAGAGAATTACAAAACTATACGAAATACCTAAAAAAAAAAAAAAAGGATACAAGAAGTGAAAGAAACAATAGAGAGAAAGGGAGACGGGAAGGAGAGATGGTGCTTTGTAAGGGGGGCTTGAGAGGGAGAACAGAGTTGAGTAGAGTGTATGGTATGTGTTGAATATGTTGATGTTTGATCAATGTTGTGGTGTGAGAGGTGAGAGTTTGTGTAATGATTGTGTTTTAGGGGTAATTGACGGCAGCCAGAGTTTTGGGTTTGATTTGATTTGAGGGGAGGTTGGAGGGAGAGACAAAGTTATTATTTTTCTTTTCTTTGGTCGGGTCCTGCAGCAGCAGCACCCAGACCCTCAGGAGGGGACTTGTCACTGGCAGGACCCGACCTGTTCAAGAGGGTAGGGGAGGGAAGAGCCACCAATCACTTGTTTCAGCGTCTTTCTCTTCCATGACTGTCTCTAATGAGGGAGAAGCTCAAGTCATGCTGCCTCTTAAAGGCTGTTTTTTTTTTTTTTTTTTTTTGCCACTGTAACTTTCCCAAATGTAGCTTAGTGTTCATCATGGATTAATGTTGGGTCTTAGATGATAATAATATCATAATGTTTAATATGATATAACAAAGACTACAGTCTAGATCTGCTCTTTTTGTCAAGTGTCACGAGATAACATGTTTTGAATTGGTGATTAAAACAGAAAAAAACATTTTGACTGAAAATTCTCAACGTACAAAACAAGTTAAAAAAAACCCAATTTGAATAGGAGTTTTCTATCTCAGGAATAAAACTGACACATTTTATTTATGAAGCTCAAGATCTATTCTGACAGATATGAGCTTGCTTCTTTGAGAGGGGTCTTGGGGGGAAATCTAGCTATTCTAACATTCAAATAAGGCTTTTTGGAGCAATTTGAGATTAGATAATGATAAATGAGGACCTTGTTTTGATACTAAATAAGAAGCCTACTCTGTTGTTAACTTTTAGCAGCCTAAAGTATAAATAACACAGAATTACCCTCAAACAAGTTACAGAAGTTAGAGTACAAACATATCAGACTTTAGTCTGGAGTAACAAATGAAAAACAGTTACTTTGCAAAAATTTACCTTTTACAGAATATTATTATTATTATTTTTAATGAATTAATGTGTTTCTCATTTTGTTGTCATTGCTAGAGTTGGAGTTAATCCTACTTGAGTTATTTAGACACATATAAGTGGATACCTGGTGAATTCCCAGGGCATATAATAAAGATATTTTGACAAATAGTGTATTCATCCTATTTTGCATTATAAATCTGAATCTGAGAAGTAACTAGCAAACAAATTTAAGAATTTCTATAAATTCAGTGGATTAAGAAGTATATTTTTAAGGACAAGAAGGCTTTTTTTTTTTTTTACATTTGGACAGAACTTATGCAAGTATGTATTTTATAACTTTCACCCACTCAGTCGTTAAAAGTAAACTAGTGCCAGATTGTTAAGCTAATATAACATGTAAGAACTGTGTCATCAAACGGTCCAGTTAACAGGTGATTCATGTCGCGCGGTGCTCTGTGTTGGTAATGTGCTGTATCACCTGTTGTTTACGCGCGTTCCTAAAGGAGGTTGTCCGGTAGCGGAGCACTCGGCGGCTGTCTGCTCTGCCAGCACGTAATAAAACTTTAACGGTATACTCCGTCATGTTACGGATTGTTATTTCCCTGGTATTTTTTTCTTTGGTCGGGTAAATAAATTGCACACCGG